ATCTCATTTTATGTTGAATCTTTAAAAAACAAAAAAAAGCCAAACTCATAGAAACAGAGTAGAATGGTGGTTTACCAGGAGCTGGAAGGAGGGAGTCATGGGGAGTTATTTTTTTAATGGATACAGAGTTTCCATTTTGCAAGATGAAAAGAATTCTGGAGATAGATGTTGGTAATGGTTAGACAATTTTATGAATGTACTGAATACCACTGAACTGTACACTTACAAACTGTTAAAACGTTGACATTTACATTATGCATATTTGACCACAATAAAAAAAATGGGGGGGGAGAAAAATAATCCAAATCCAAGCCTCTGCCATATCCTGCCTGGATTACTGCAATAACATTCTAACTTGTCTCCTTGTTTCCATCCTTATTCCTTTGGTATATTCTCCACAAAGCAGCCATGTTGAAATAATGTGAGTTTATGTCATTCCTCCAATAGCTTTCTACCTCATTGGTAATAAAAACCTAAGTCTTCACCATTACTTACAAAACCCTATGTGATCTGGTCCACTACTACAGCTCAGACACCATCTCCTAGCACTGTGCCCCTAACCTGTACCTTTCCTTGAATAGTCCAAATAAATATCCCCACAACTCAGAGCTTTTGTACTATCTGTGTTTCTTCCTCATGGGTTTACCTTCCCAAAGGTACCCATACCTCTTTCCAGTCTTTACTCAATATTTACTTCGTTAATGAATCCTTCTCTGACCACCCAAACTGATATTTTAACTTTTCTCCACCATGCACTGCATATTCCACCTTCCTCTTTTATTTTTTTCTTTTTAGCATTTACTATTGTACTTACTACTAAATTTTACTTTACTTAATGCATGTTACTTTCATATTATTTGAAATGTTATTTTACTTATTTATACTTGTTCATACTATGACTCTCCCATGAGCACATGTCCTCCATTAAGGCAGGAATTATTTTGTGTATTTGTTTACTAATGTGTCTTTTGATCCTACAATAATACCTGGCACATAGTAGGTGATTAATAAGTGTAAAATGATTACATAAATTAATATTACTCCATGTGTGAGAATCATAGTAGAGAAAATTCAGTGGTAGTTAGTATAATTAACATGGGCTTGGAGTCAGATAAATTTGAAGTTAAATTCAGGCTCTGCCACTTATTGGTTAGGCCTTGAAATTTGGATTAAATTGGCCAATTTGAAAAGGAGATATAAGTCATTCTAGGCTGAGAGAACCATAAAAGCTAAGAAAAGAAATTGCTTGGCACTTGTGCAGGAGAGAAAGTGACTTAATTTGGTCGGAGTAAAGAAAACATAAAATAGATTACTGTGAAATAAGCATGAAAATATAAATTGTTAATAGATCATGGAGCTTACTGATGAAATTTGGGAGAGTGGAGTTATTATAAAGGCCAAAGGAAGTGAAGAAAGTTTTGTGAATTATGTTATTAAAGCTGTTAATAAGAAAATCTAATATGATTTAGAGGGGATTAAGCTAAAAAGAGTGATACTGATTGCAAAGCTATTTCTGTAATCTGGAAGACATGTAGTGAGAGCCTGAATCAGAGGGTATTTATGAATACTGAGGGAACATAACTTAATGGAGAAATGCTGTGAAGAAAGAATTGACAATACATATTTCATTATTGAATAGCAGATCACTACAGAGGCAAAAGAGTATGTCACATATTTAAATCTCAAAAACTGTTGAATAACACCCCCATTTACATAACAAAAGGGACAACAAACAGGTTTGTGAGCAATGAAACAAGGTTCACTTCAGCACGTAAGAGGTTTGAGAAATCAGTGGACATCAAGGTATAGATACATACCAAAGAGTTGAAAATGAGGCTGTAACTCAAGAGAGATTGGAAGTGGTGAAAACATAAATACAATGATCATGGGCATACAGCTTCAAGTCAAGAGATTAAATCATACTGACAACAGAGAGCATATACAAAAAAGAAAGTCAAAGGATCTCACGTGGGACTCCTATGCTAAGGGAGTTGGAAGAGGAGGAAGAGCCAGATAATGAAAGAGACACAAGACAGTCGGAGGTGGAGAAGGAGCTGGTAAGTCTAGAGGCTATAGGAGAAGCACTTCAGTGATGGTACAAAGCCTGAGAGGTGATGAAAGACACTGGATTTGGTGACCAAGTATAATTATTTGCTGAATAAACAAATGTATAAAGCATAGACTACAAAAAATGGTCAATGAAAGAAAATGTCACATAATAGTACATTAACAAGATAAAATGGAGTGGTGTGTTTGGACAGAGGAGGTGTGCCTACAGGAGTTTTGGCTAGGATGAGGTGCCAGGAGAAAGAGAGAAATGGAAAGTGAAAAAGATACTGGGGATGTTTGATATTAGATTAGGAGTAGAATGAGAGGCATGATCCAAGTCATAAAAATAGGAATTCAGTGTAACTATAAAAAGGATGTCCTCCATTGAAGAATGGGTGGTAGTTAAGTGATACAATGAAGGAAAAGTTAGGGTTCACACCAGAGAATATTGCTTCTTGGTAAATTATGAGAAAAACTGATTTATAGGCAGAGATCCTGAGATAGGTCAGATTACTTCACCTCAACACATTCACAAACTGCAATGACTATAAATCAGATTTTCTAAGTTGGGACAGATGGGGATACTTAATGTTTCTAAGATACTGGGAACTTTTACAATAATTTAGGTATTTTATGTTTCCCATAGGGAACAGTCACCCACATGGCTCTCTCTTCTGTTATGGAAAACTGCACCCTTACTTAAAGACCACCAAGTAAACACTTGAATGAAACCTTCTAATGGAACCCAATCTGGCCCATCATTAGAAGTGGATCAGATATAACCTGTAGGGGGCAGTACAGGCTCAGCCCCTCTGAGAAACTCTAGAAAAAATTTTCTCAGTAAATAGTTAAGACACAAATTTATCAAACCTAACTATGTGTAACACCATCTTCTGATGTGCTTCCTTTAGAAACAGGCAGGATATATCATTCCTCACCCAATGTGATTCATGTTTCTTCTTTTCTAAAGGATAACAATAGGTTTCTTTCAATGGCTTAAGTTAAAACAGATATGTGAACTGCTCAATATTTTATGATATATTACATATTTTGTAATATTTAGACAAAGGGAGAGTGAACAAATACAGTCTAGCAAAATTAAGTCCATTTATAATTACTTCATTAAGGAATCATACCTGAACAATGCCTTAATGAGATGGTAATGAGGTAAAAATGTGCTGCCAGAATAGGCACTGGAGAAAACCTTCTGGAAAAGGCAGCTCTATAAAGTGAAAATAAGGGGGGAAAATACTCCTCTCTTTGTCTTGGCTAAGACTTCTTTATTTTAGGAGGTAGAACACCTATCAAGTCTTGGAAGTTTCAATTGGAGGATGGTGTTTTTAAAAAAAAAAAAGCCTAAAGAGTCAGGGAGAGTCAGGAGGGTGGGAGGGAGAGGGAGGAGGAGCAAGGAAAGGGTGGGTACGCTTAAACTTAAAATGGAGATAAAAAATAGTACCTCCCACCTCTAAGAGCCATTATAAGGATTTTATTAGTTCATATAATGTATACACATAGCATATAGCTAACAGTCAGTAAAGTGTGGCAGAATTCTTTTTATTTACTGATAATGAAGAAACTGATTAGGTTTTTTGTTCAAGACTATACAACTTTGTGAAAATGTGGATGGGAATTTAATTGAAGATGAGGCTAAGTCACATAATCATTCTCACTCATCCCCTTTGTTCAACTTTGCAAGAAAACTAGCCAAGGATAAAGGGCATAACTATTCCCTGAAATACGTTCCCCTGGGGGAAGCTTTCAGTGTTAAAATTTTTCACGCATCAATTAACTGTGCCAAATAAATCACTAATTAAATACAACCATTATCTTTAAAAAAAATCGATGAGTCTCCAAAAATGTGTACTTTTCTCCAATGGGATCAAGACGATAACTTCTAAATTCCCATTCATTGTGTAGCATTGAGAAAAGTCACTTCTGCAAGAACTCTGTAAATTACTCTTCTAAACAAAATAAATGAGATTTTCTTTTAAAAGGAAATTTTAGCAAATCCAGCAATTCTAGCACATGTCATTCCCATGCTCTAACATATACAAGGCTATAATTTCTTGTATTTTTAGGTTTTCTACAACACTGCAATAATGATGGAAAATGCTACTGAGAAGATTCATTATGTGGAAAATACTGAATGGTGCATAGAATCTGACCTGGTTTGAGTGTGACTTTCTTGTATAAATACTACAGAGCCTGCTATCAAGTTTAAGTTGGCAAAATTAAAATCTATCATATGAAGAAGCTTACAGTTATATTTTTCTTAAATAGAATATAAACACATACAGTGAAAATATAATAAGGGCAATATCTAGAGTATATATTTCCTTTAGGTATCAGATATCTAGAAAAATCTCCCCAAGTAATGTGACTAGTAAATTTCATCCATTTTCCCATTCTTTTTTTTTTTTTTTGCGGTATGCGGACCTCTCACTGTTGTGGCCTCTCCCATCACGGAGCACAGGCTCCGGACGCGAAGGCTCAGCGGCCATGGCTCACGGGCCCAGCCGCTCCGCGGCATGTGGGATCTTCCCGGACCGGGGCACGTACCCGTGTCCCCTGCATCGGCAGGCGGACTCTCAACCACTGCGCCACCAGGGAAGCCCCTCCCATTCTTTTAAATGACCTCTCTTTAATGAGTTTTGTGTTTTAGTTGGTAGCCTTTATAAAAACTAATCTTACAGGTAATTATATAATGAAAGTACAAATCACTATTATAAGAATCCCCATTCATGAAGAATCAACATACATTAAACCTAGAGAGGTCTCAATAACAAAACAGCATCATGTGAAGTATCTAATACAACTGAGAACAAGGAAATGGCTCCTGATGGCGGAGAAAACAAAGGCACTGCAAAATTCAAACAAACAAAAACCATGTTAGGTTATCTTGGGTGAAGAAGTTCTTTGGTTTGGAGAACAGAGAGTAAATGTTGACAGACCTGTGAAGGAAATGGGCTCCGTGTGGGGTCAGAGGTGGTGACATAAGCAGCCTGTGTGTAGGCATAGCTCTTGAACCGAGGCTTAGGAGAGGAAGGAGTTCGTTCATAGCCCTGTGCTAGACTGACTGTGATCTGCAGAAGGGTTTGGGGGAGGGGGACAGAGAGGAGGAGGAGACATGATAAGTAACCCTGGAAGGACTGCTTTCCAACACACTAGAAAAAACGAATGTTAAATGGAAACAGTGAGATGAAAAATTTAATCCTAAATATATATAAGTGATATTAGAAACTGGTACACTCCAAGAATTGTGGTGCTCAATGTCATGTTGGAGAACAGGTAGTCAGGGAAGAGAGGAGGATGGGATTTAACCATAAAGATTCCATCCTGACACACCTCCAGCACTAATATGGGATGCTGCTCTTCAAACTGGCAAAAACAAGCAACCCAAAGCAATCTTCTCTGAACTCAAAGTAAACAAAACCAGAATTCATCACGTCAATACCTTGGAAAGGACTGAAGCTTTCATAAGCTAAATATAGAATTAGCTCAGTAGAGTGAGAAAATTAGGCCTGAGAGCTTTCCACGCCTTCAGCAGAAATTTTGCTAAAGGCTTTTTCATCGTTTGTGTCAAAGAAAGTTAAGAAAAAAAACACCCTAAATATACACCGTTGGGAAGAAGAACTAGCAATGTAACAGAAGAATCCCACTGGATTCTGTACAATATCATAAAAGTCTTTACCATATGTATTCTCTATTTTTTATTTAAACTATTTTAAACTAATTTTATCTTATCAAAGATATTACCTTGAGTATGCAAAATTTGTTACTACAACAGCAAGTTGCCACTAAAAATAAGAAAACATTATTAAACAGTGTACTTGCCTCTGCTCTTGGTCTAGTTCTTCGCTTTTTGCTCTAGTTGATGGAAAGTTTAATGTGTATATCAGTCTATCTTTTATTTTATTTCACTTTACACAATGGAAATGCAATGTATTCTGTGTCCCATATTCCTATAACATAGTGCATATCAATAGCAGAGTATTTTAACAATGTGCCTTGAAAACAACATTATTGCCCATGATATCAGATGAAATTTAGGTTTAGAGTCCTCTCCCTCTCTCTCCCTCTCTCTCCAAATACACACACACAGACACACAGACACACACACAAAGCTATATATACATATATTTTTGTATGTGTGTGTGAATATATACACATATATATATATACTATGCTCTATATATACATATGTGTATCCATCCATAGACAATATAGATATGTGTGCATGATATCTAAAAATCCATATAAAACATAAAATATCATTGATATTAGCTATTCTTTTGATCTTTTACCTGTTGAGAATAGTGCATTTGACGATGTAACTGAAAATGTTCTTCTCTAGTAACTTTTGATGGCCTTGGCAACATCTCCACCTCCTGGATGGCTTCGATGCTCACTTGTTGAGGCAAAACTTGGAAGAGTGATGTGACGTACATTAAGATGGACTTCTTATCTGGATAAGTGGTGGCAACATCTGTAAGCACATTAACACCACACATCAATTTTTGGTTTCTACATTTGAGTGTCTAAAAGGGGAATGAACAAATCAATGTTACAGGAAAAAGACCGATTAATGAGCACTCTATTGTCCATGAATGTCCTCCAGAGACTAATGAGAACATGATTATCAGGCCTAAAATGTCCTTCCAATTTGGCAGACCAATGAGATGAGCACTAAAGTTAATTTCTTTTCCTTGTTCACATAAAAACTTCATTCGGCAATACGTTTTCCTAAGTCAAATTGCCAAACTAGCCCATCTAAGAGAGTGGTTTTCATTAGATAAGAAACAAAAATAAAAGATTTCATCTTCCTTTCCATGGAAAGTTATAATAGCAGGTCAATTAAAATGGTGCACTGGTAATTAAACAATTACACCAAAGAGCTTAATGCCCTGGCTTCCAGTAAAGAAAGCTTGCACCTCCTAATCAAATTTTTGCTGGTGATTAAGCATGTAAAGAGCAAAATAATGTCTCTGTGTTGAAACGAACCGTGTATTTCTACAAGCAAAATAAAATAAAACAACTATATACCATAAGAATAATAATTTGTAATATTCCTTAACTATATTAAAAATATTTCTTTACATTATGGTGCATCTGTTAAAGTCAGATGTCGCTTTCCTTCTTAGACGTTAGAGATAAATTTAAAAGTCCTTCACATAAAGTTGATCTGACATTATGTCCTTTGCCACATCTAGGGAATGAAAGAAATCCAGCATTTAAGTCAATAATAATTCGTAATAACACATATAATAAGTGGCAGCTCCTTCAAAAGCTTCTTTTGCTACTTGGCATTACAATTTACCCACTGTGCTCATTCCAGGGAACCAAATGAAAAAACAATCCTTTATGTGAAAAGTACCATTAATCCCAGAAGTGTTAAACATAAATCCTGGCAGGAGGCCAAGACAACTTAGCAGCAATGTGCCAGGCATTTTTCTTGCCATAAATTTATCCTAGCTCAGCTAGCATTAAAAGATCTGTTTTAAGTTAAATATGTATATTCTGGTCAGGTGTTCTGTTTGTAAGTTAAAAAACAAGAGTTAAATTTCAAGTTCACAAGCATAAAAGGAGGTTGAACAGGTCACTTAACTCCATTCCTTCGCAAGTCACAGGAACATGATTAATCAGAACAATTATTTTTAAAGTATTTTTAAAAAGAGTTTCAGAGAAGCAAAAAATTAGCTAATGCTCCTTGGTCTGCTTCTATCCATGGCATAATACAGTCCTTCTTAATTTTTAATGTGCATATGAATCACCTGGGGATCTTTTTAAAATCAGAATCGGATTCAGTAGTTCTGGGTGGAGCGTGAGGCTCTGCATTTCCAGCAAGCTCCCAGGTGATGCTGAAGCTGCTGACTTGAAGACCATACTTTGAGTAACAAGAGTCGAAAAAGATGACACAGAAGCACACTCTTATATTACCTTCTGCTTCATTGTTTTGCTTACCTGTTTTCAAAAGATACTTACTGGACACTTAAATGCATAAGGCTTAAAGGTACAAAGTTATTGATATATAATACATATTCTCTGCTCCCTATTATAATTTAATTATTAGCCAACAGATGGTGAAGATAATTTTTTGCAAATATTTTTTAGGAAAGAACTAAAGAATACCTTGTGTATAAGTACTGCCTTTCTAAAAAAAAAAAAAATTCTTATTAACTTAGCTTTGAAATTGTAAAATCTACCTTTCATTTGATAATTGTTTTTCAAGTGTTCATTGTATGGCAGACACTATACTTCTTCACAGTATGTTTTTGAAACTCTAGAATGTTTTCTTCCTTCTCACTAGTAACTAGTCAGTTTTATCTGTAATGAGCAAAATTTAGAATTGTTTATTTTTTAGTGCATTAAATAAAACCATGCTGTGAGAAAGGCACTGAATTTTAAAAGGTTGTCTGTGTAAATAAAAAGTTCCATGGCTATTTACTGCTATATTAGACATGTGCATATGTTTGTCTGGCCTCAAATGCAAACCATGATCAAAATAAATAAAGGTAAAAATAGATCTAGCATTATTTCTCTTGCCCCCAGCAAATGTCAAAACTTGTAGCATATTTTATCTACATAAAACACCTTTTGGATGAACGTGAATATTCATAAATATCAATCACTACAATCACTATTTGATCAAACTATTGATATTTTTGCCCCAATCTATTACCATCCCACCTCAGAAGCTGTACACGATTCCACTGTACCACTAGGTAGAATCCAGTATTTCTTTTTGTTTTTACCAAAAGGAATTTAGATATTCTAAAATATGTTGAATTCCTTCCAAATATATTTACTAAAGACCTATTAAATTTTAAATATTTTTAATAGATTATCCAGGAGATTAACAAGATAGAGAATCCATGGATTCTGCTTACAGTTTGGAATAATAAATAAGAAGAACAAAATAATTGCACTGCTAAAGGGAAGTTAAAATGTGTTCCTCTAATTGGCACAGCCAGTGCTTTAATATGTTCAGAAAAAGGAAGAAAGGATCAGGAAATTCCTTATGAATAGAAATTCCTTATGAAATTCCTTATGAATAGAAAACTGAAATAAATTTGTATAGAGTTTCATTAGGGGAAAACCTAATGAAATGGAGAAAGGTATTCTAGGCAGTAGAAAAGCATGAGTAAAAGTGCAGAGGTAGGGACAGATTAGACATGTTCTGAGAAGACCGCCTTTGGGCGTCTTAGCCACAGAGTTGAGAATAGTGATTAATAGGAAAAAATGCGAAGCTTGTATGTGGAACACTAAGGGATCATCAATAGCAAAGTAGTCAATTTGGCCTTAGTTCAATAGGTTGGAGAGTAACTAACTACTTTTGATCAAGACTGTGACACCATTAAAACTTCTGTAAAGTAAAACCATTAAGCGCAGAATGGAATGAAGGAGAAAAACACTAGAGGCAAGTAAGAGGCTGGGACCCAATCCAGATAGGAGGTGTCAGAGAACTAAAATAGGCTATGTAATGCATCTATTATGGGGATGCATAATAGAAATTCTAAGACATCCCCAAAATAACTTCATTCAATTTCAGATCATTTATTCCACAGTCTTTGCGAATGCCTATATACAAAATCCTGTCCTAAGTCCTGGGGGTACAAAGATTAATAAACTGAAAATGAAATGGAGGAAGGAGGATTGAAGGAGGAAACTGCTTGCTCTGTAGCCATGGTAACAAGTAGCCACAACACAAGTTTCAATCTCATTTAATCAATTAGCAATTACCTGCCTACATGGTCTTGATCATGCTTCTGCAAGCCAACCAACATCAACCCCTCCCTTCTGAAAGTCTGCCAATCTGAAGTGGACTTGCTCCAATGAACAAAATTCTGAATGCAAATCAATTAACAGTGGTCTCACCTGAGTAACCAACCATGCTTCTAAAGGTGACATCAACCTACTTCAAGTCTGAATGTTCATAAATCTCTTGACCCCTGGGTTTCCCCACCAAACCTAAGAATTTGAGGAAGGTGAGAATGATGGGATGTGATTTCCTCTTTTTTTTTATTATAAGACATTAAAATACACAAATTGAAAGAAGTGGGTGAACCCCCAAAATAAGAACTTAAAATTATATGAAAGTTATCTTTGCACTAAAAACCCTATTATATAATGGGTTTATTGCCACAAAAGTTTAAATTAATCATTTCTAATCCAATCTTTGAAACCAGTTCAGGATGGAAATTTTGAGAACTCATAATACTGCCAGAAAATGTTATTTTATGAACAATAACACTGATTCTGATGAGTGTTTCTAGTCACCAGAATTTTAATACTGAAGGCTATAATGGAACAAATAAACCATTTAGGGAAATTGCATATTTTTCAAAGAAACTGAAGGCAACAGTGGTTTGATGGCAAGTTCAAAAGCTAGTTCATGTCAGAATTAGAACCCAGTCAGTGCATCATACTTCTCAGTACCTTACCTTCATTTTTTCAGAGAAGGCTATCTTAGTGCATTTGAAAACCAAGTATCTCAAAGTCATTATCTAAATGATGACCCTGTGATCTATGGGGTTCCATTACCAAACATCACCTACACTCTCCATAGTAGTAGTGATTTCTATTTCTAATAAGTGAGGTATAACAAGAGTAAATACACATAAAAATGCAATTTCAGCAGTAATCAAAGAAATGCAAATTAAATAAAGATGGAAGTGTTTAATTATACTCCATTGCCTATCAAATTATCAAAGAATGAAAAAAGGATAACAATCAATGTTGCAGAAATGTCAGCAATTTGGCCAAACTCCTACACTGCTGGAAGAGTATCAGTTGGTTCCAACGTTACGAAAAATATCGTGGCTATATCTAAAAACAATCATATTCAACGACCCAGTAATTTTCCTTCTAGGAATGCACCACAAGGAAATAATCAGAAATTTAAAAGAAGATTTATATAAACAATGTGAAATTTAAGCCCTCTTTACAATTATAAAAGAAATATTTATCACACAAAAAAGAAAAAAATTCACACCATTCCAAATTGCTTGACATAAAACTAAATTTAGAAATGATCAAATATATAATTGTATGGGGACATACTGGGCCCTGAACCAAGATGGCAGAGTAGAAGGACGTGCTCTCACTCCCTCTTGCGAGAACACCAGAATCACAACTACCTGCTGGACAACGATCAACAGGAAGACACTGGAACTCACCAGAAAAGATGCCCCACATCCAAAGAGAAAGGAGAAGCCACAATGAGAGGGTAGGAGGGGCAAAATTACAGTAAAATCAAATGCCTTAACTTCTGGGTGGGTGACTCACAGACTGGAGAACACTTATACCACAGAAGTCCACCCACTGGAGTGAAGGTTCTGAGCCCCACGTCAGGCTTCCCAACCTGAGGGTCTGGCAACGGGAGGAGGAATTCCTACAGAATCACACTTTGAAGGCTAGTGGGATGTAACTGCAGGACTTCGACAGGAATGGGGGAAACAGAGACTCCATTCTTGGATGGCACACATA